AGTCCCCTCCTCTTTTCCCACAATCAACTCTCAGTAGATCTTTTTGCCACGCTAACCTTTATTTAACCACTCTTTCCACTCTACTTTCCCGTCCTGCCACTCTCAACAATCCTCTCCTCTCACCTCCCTCACCTTTAACCAAGTCCACTTCAGACTCCTTCCCCGTCACCTCTTATTCCCCATCGCAACTCTCTCTTCCCACTCCCCTTTCCACTCTCTCTCCCTCTCCTACCTCTCTCTCCCTTCCAGCCTCCTATTCCTCTCCAAAACAGTCACTCCCTTACCTCTCCCCCTTTTCCCCACAATCAACCTCTCATCATCCTTCCCCTCCCTCCTTTCCTATAAATCAAACTTTCATCTACAAGATTTAAAACTCCCTTCTGTACCTATCATTGGCACTCTCTCACACCAATACCTATCCCTGCCTTTTTCTTCATTTTTCTATATGGAAACTTGAGCCTCCCACCGAATCCTTCCCCCTTGCCCAGTTTTTTTTTAGTATTTTTTTTCTTTCTTGTCCCTGTTTTCTAGTTTCTCTTCTTTAAGTCATAACTTTTATTGATCACGTGCATATTTGTGTAACCTATAGTTTTTAAAAACCTGAATAAAGGATGAATCATTACAATTAAGTTTCCTAAAGATAGCAAAGCATATGAGACTAGTCTATTCGCATCAGTGAAAAACTTGTAATGCCATTTTCCGATTATCGAGATCTATCCTATTTCATTAAAATGGTAAGCAAATCAACAACGATATCAATGAAATAAAAGCCTTATATATTTATACAGGATATAAATGCTTTTTTTTTCTTTTTTTGCACAAGATACTTTCTAGAAATGGACAGTTGCAAATACATGAACTCTTGCCTTAATTTTTCTTGTTATTATCTTCTTTAAATTGTACATGTGGAGAGTGGCGGTAAAAGCCAAGGAATACTATAATCTAATTTGACAGTTATTCAAGTACATAATGCTGCAGCTCCAAAATATTTTCCAAAATATAATGCAATTTCCTGTCCTTCAATTTCCAGATTCTCTGATCTGTTCCCCCATCCAAGGATTCATCAACTGTTAGACCCAGAATCTTCGGCCTAAGAAGAGGCTTCCACTGAACTTACCTATGAATGTAGTTTTCCCTGTTTGTAGGAAGGTCATAGTTAATGACAAGGGACACCTGCTGTACATCGATACCACGGGCCAATAAGTCAGTTGTGATCAGAACACGGGATGATCCAGAGCGGAACTCGCGCATGATGACGTCACGCTCCTTCTGGTCCATGTCACCGTGCTGAAGTTAAGCAAAAAGTAAATAGAATAATTTGTTACTTGTATTATAAAAGGAAAATATATCTACCAATTTGCCAGATAAATCCACCAATTCCAATACTAAATACCTAATTTTGTATGACATGACACTAAGCACAAGCCTCGACATTACAACTTGAACAACTACAATGTCCTCCTGCTTACCATAGCAGACACTGTGAAGTCACGCTGGTGCATTTTGTCGGTAAGCCAATCCACCTTCCTTCGGTGTTACAGAAGATAACAGCTTGGGTGATGGTGAGAGTTTCGTACAGATCACACAGGGTCTCTAACTTCCAGTCTTCCTTCTCAACATTCACATAGAACTGCTTGATACCTGGAAAAATATGACAATTAGCCGAGTGTCATTGAAATAGATAATTGTCCATTGTAAGAGATCATTTTTTTGCAATTTGTACTATCATAAACAGAAAAATACTGAGAAAACAACTTTTCATATAAATAAAGTATCCAAAACTCACTGCAATCACCAACTTTACAATAATTTATGATTTTTATTCTCACCAGTGTTATTTTTGCTTTGGGAAGCTCTACCAATTTATGACAAACAATCTTGAATGACAATGAATAACCTGACAGTATGAGATGTATTTGACACATTTTATGCTGATGACCATTATCAATAATCATTATCAACAACATTCAGGTATTTCAAACATTTTAACCTTTTTTGTGAGGTTATTCATTCTCATCTAAATCTACATTAGGAGGTAATAACCAAAGACCATTATTTCAACAATTCTGCTATATCATGCTTATGAATTTCACTTGGCAATTCCATCACCCTTAAATTCTCTTAACCAGTTTCATAGTCAGCACGTCTCAAATGTAATATACATTTCAAATTTTCTTTTATTAGATTACTTATGAAAAAGGAATGCATTTTTCATATTCAAAACTCAAGGGATTTGGTAAACCACCTCCGTAAGAAGAACCAAACTTGTGCATCAGGTACCTTCAAGGGTCAGCTCCTCCTTCTGACCAAGATGGTGATTGGCTTTCGCATGAACTTGGTGGTTACATCCATGACATCAGCAGGCATGGTAGCAGAGAGCAACACAACCTGCACATCGTGGGGGAGGAACCGGAAGACATCGTAGATCTGGTCCTTGAAACCACGTGACAACATCTCATCAGCCTCATCAAGAACGAACATCTTGATGTCCTTCGGCTCTGGAATGATTTAACAATTACTTTTAGTAGAAAGATACAAAAAGAAAATAACAGAAAAAGAACTTCAGTAACAATCAGCCAATTGCCACCAGGAATTTGTAACATTCACTGTTGTATTGTTTTCATAAATAGATCTATATATAGAAGGCTCCACAAGTGCTCAATCACCTACAGTACTTCACCCGATTTTCCCCGTTCTTCAGGACTTTTTTGCTAATGATGTCAATACTGATATTACAGACAATTATAATATCATTGACATTTTAATCATTAGTGTTATTAATAGTACTGATATCAATAAAAATAAAAATAAAAAAATCAAGGAAATTAGGATAAACAAACAATACGTCAGACTACCGATTCTCCTTAACTAATCACTTATGGATCCATCCATGTGTAAATATAATAAAATCAACTGTGGGCATGCCATGTGCTGAAATGCCATCCCTGGCAGAATTGGGTTAATGAGTAAGTACATGTTAACTTGGACCTTTAAGCTTTTAGAAGCAAGGGAATATTTTGTCTGCCCGTTATTGTGAATGAAACACGGTTAATTAACTTTTAAATCTGTTACTGTTTGGCAATATTCCTCTAACTTTAATGCCCCTACCCTTCTACCCCTACACCCACTGTCTTAAATGTGTAAATCTTCCTACTTTCTCCCCTATATACCTAGGGTATCATTTTTTTGTTTTGCTACTCCACTGTTCAAAGACTCAAGACAATTTGAAGTGGCAGCATGAATATTTTCTGCTGGGGAAAATCAAGCTCTTTAAATCTTCTAGACTAAATTAATCCTTGATAAAGACAAAATTCATGGTTACTTGCAAGCAGGGGGAAAAAGCAGTTTAGGCAATTTAGGGTTTAATGGTTTACATGTTGTCTACAATAATTTTATCAAAGCAAAGTGCCAGATAAATTTTAATCAGACTTTATTCTAGCACCAATGCATGCTATGACCAGAATACAGGATCCAGATCACTCTCAATAGATGCTGTAAGAAAATTTCAAGCCTGTGAACTTTATAATTATTCTACTTACAAGGGGAAAGATTTATATCCACTTAACTATTTTTGGGTAGTTACAAAAAGTAATTCTAAGAGGATTTCTAAACAAATTCAGTTACTTCCTTTCACAGAAAAGACCATACAACCAGACTTACCTAAGACTCGGCGATTGATCATGTCATACACTCGGCCAGGGGTACCTACAATGATCTGTACACCCATCTCAAGGCGACGCATGTCCTCACGGAGATTTGTGCCACCAATACAGGCATGGCAAGATACATTCATGTAGTCGCCAAGAGCAAGCACCACCTTCTGAATCTGTAGGTATTCCACTCATATTAGACCACCAATGACAACACACTGCAACTAATATTTCAGACATGGAAGACTATATAGACATAATAACAGGCCTTTTGTTAGAATACCACACACCTTAGTTCCATGCTTACCTGCTGGGCCAATTCTCGGGTAGGGGCCAGGATGAGAGCCTGGGTTTCTTGGGATTTGGAGTCAATCCTCTGAAGGATTGCAATGGAGAAAGTAGCAGTTTTGCCAGTACCAGACTGAGCCTGGGCAATGGCATCGTGGCCCTTGATACAAGGCATAATGGCACGTTGCTGGATGGCTGAAGGTTTCTCAAAACCATAGGCATAGATACCTCTAAGTAGGGATTCATTGAGGTTCATGTCATCAAAGCTTGTAGCAACCTAGAGGGGGAAAAAAGTTTTTAAATTTGTGGTCTCTTGATACAAGTATTTCTTTTCATATGCTGACCAGATAATGAAGTAATTCTAACAAGAAATTGATCAATCCCATAAGGAAATACTTGTGCTAGCCAAAAATAAAATACAATGAAAAATTACCTCTGTCCATGTGGACTCGATGATTCCATCAACATCCATACCGGCTGGGCCATCATAATCCTTATTATCATTGTTCCCACCACCACTGCTTCCACCAGTTCCCCACTCTTCATCCCTGGAAATAACGAATTAAGCGTCAGACATCAACAGAATATAATCTTCTGATAGTTTTCTAAACCATCTTAGGAAGATAACTGCAATCTAAAGGTATGAATACTTTGTAAAAATGGATTACCCCCTCCCCATTCTTTTATAGGGTTTGCAAGATATATCTGAATTCTTAACTTTCCACAAAGTTCTGATGCAAGTTATCCAGTTAACCTTCCAAGATAGCTCCAATGGTATATAATAATCAAAAACTGGTTAGAGAGTAAATAACAAATATTGAGATATGTAAAAAAAACTGACATGAATACAGAATAGGAAAACAATGCACAAGAGATATGGGGGTTAACACTGTCTGTACTAGGGCCATAAAATAATGTATAAAGGAAAATACACTAACTCATCGTAAAATTGTAAAATTTAAGTACATCTCAAAATAGAAAAATAAGCACACACAAAGTACAGAATAGTCAAATTTTAAAAACTATGTACTAGAAAATCCTTGTAAGCAAAGTTATATCTATTCCCCTTTTTCTCTCTTCTTTTTAATTTAAAGTTTGAAAATTTCAAACAAACACATCTAGTCCTACATGCATGAGAGCCTTACTCTATACTGTACTCCACACTACTATGCCCTTTAGCCCAAATAAAAATCTTGATGCCAAACAATTCTATATGATCATGCTCTAGATTTTCTGAATCTTTGTCAGGAAAGCAACTTAAGTACGAGATATTGCAATTTATACAATATATATCCAATTATGAATAGTTATATATAAAGCTGTGTAAAATATATTGATATACATATATACATACATATACATATATATACATATACATATATATATTGTATGAAATGTATGTAAATACATATTTTCAGGATTAACCTACAGTTAAAAAACAAGAAAATAAAAACACTCGAGCCACTCGATAAAAGCCAGTAAAAATTGTTAGTTTAGAACAAAATGAATAATTACCTTGAGTCCCCATCCCTGTAGAAAGGGGAAAACAATGTGTCAGATAATGAAAAAAATCCTTAAAGGTAACAATTAAAAACTTAATCTTAAAGAATATTTTTCAAAGTGTTTGGTGTTTCAGAATTTTTTCTCTTCATATTGATGCAGAAAAATTGTA